AAATTATTTTCAATGGAGATCAAAGTGTGAATGAATCGCGTCGAACACACGTGGATCAACGCGTCGTCACGCGCTGAAGGATATTCTCGCGTGAACGCTCTAAAGGTACGCATTCCTCGTTTACATTAATTATCAGTTTGCTAAAAAGCCCCGTCTCGCCGTTTAACAAGCCACGCGTATTGTACGGATGATTAATTGTCCGCGAACGTAACAAAAGCCGATTCAATCGCCCACGACCCGCTAGCATAAACGAGATAAACGATGCTGGATGACAACGAGCGTGCCATCCACTGGATGTGGAAATACGAGATTAGAGCGAAGAAATGATAGGTCAATGACATTTATGAAATCACCACGGTGGAGAGTTATGAATTTCAAATTTACAGAACAATTCAGTTACAAGCTGCACGACAATTGATCACTGCAGCTGAAACATAGGTGCTGCTTGCATGGCTTCCATTGACATGTGTAATAGCGAGGCTACGCTATAACAATTATGACGAAAATGGGGAAATTTATCGTGCAAAGACACAATCATCAATGATGTGTGTCAGGAATATATAATTATAGAATTAAATCGTCAAATTAAATTGTATTATAAGAACCTAAATGCAAGCACTACTGACGAATAAATTGTGAATGTTCACGCAAATTTGCACATACGTAGACTAAGAAAGCATTAAGGAAAGATTTGTATTCCCTATTAGATGCTCTATTATCATAAGCACAGAACACTTGATTAAACATTGTGGAAGCTTATGTGTAAACGTTTTTGCAGACTCACATTTGTAATGAAAACATAAATATGATAGACTAGTAGTAACTATTACAGTAATTTAGCAGCAATTAGTAGCAATCATAGTCCCAGTAGCAAACACGAATCATTAAAAAAATTCGTACAATTTCCTAGAAATCTATCTGCCAGCATAGGATATTTCGACCATGTGTACAAAAAATGGAGCTCTATTCCAAGAAAGAATGGAATTATCATCGAGATACGTAGGACCAACCACGGCTAATCTAATCTCACGTACTTTATCTACGTATCAACGATCTATCGAACGGCGCATGGTTTCGTTTCGTCGCGCTTCGAAAAACGTGAATTCACCGCGAGTTCGTGCCTCTCGAACTCGAACGGCTCGATAATCGAAATACGTCGAAAGAGACAGAAATGAAAGAAAGCAAAAAAAAAACAGTAAAGAAGCAACGTTACCCCGCTCGGTTACTCAACTAATTAGCCAATTTCCTTGCGCCACGTTTCGCGACGCCCCTCGCGGCCGCTCCCCACTTCAGTGTAAACGGATAATCCTCCAGACGGAAAAACTCGAAACCGCTTCCACTTTATCAGTTACTTATGTAAATTTGCCCGCCAAACGCCGCTATGTACATACATATATTTAGAGCAAGGCTAGCCTGACTCCCGCCACCGCCCAACGTGCACTAAAATGGTGTATTTTCGCGAGTAACGATAAAAACACCGATGGCAACGCGTGCATATACCATTGTGACGCTGCGAAAATTTCTTGCATCGCTGTCGCTCGAACAAAAGAATTATTACGTACACCATTCGGCGGAAGTGCATTATCGAGAACCGTTTGCTGGAAACTTTATCACTCAATAAGGCATTGGTTGGGCTCAAAAAGCTTCCACCTCTCGTGAATTACATAGATGCTACATTTACTGGCAAAATGCGTGAGACGTTTTTCTATGCGAGAGTAAATCGACAGAAAGATTCATCGGACACTGTGTGGGGCCGAGTATTGTTACCTCGATCTGAATTGATTTTCCAATTGCATTTTGAGATACAGCGATGCTATAGACTTTCGCTCTAATAACAAGAAAAATTAGTGTACATGTTTGATATATTATTGTACGTTAAAAAAGAGCCGGGAACAATCACCTACTAAATCTCTAACTACAGTCTGTTTGATGGAAGGCTAAATTGTCCTCTCCGATAAGAATGAATACCACTTTCAATTCCCTGTATACAGCACCGTGAAGAGAGTTCTTCACCATTTTTCCCGAGCAAAACATCGCTATTGATTATGAATTATTACCTCCATAAATTGTATACAAACGCGATAAATATCCGTAGCAAGATCCATCGTATCAGAGTTTACCCAAGCGCCCAACACTCGGTATTTCTCAGATCGATTTTCTCCGAAACGAGGTCTGGGGAAAAACTTAATTTCATCAGAAAAAAGATAACATCATCTTCATCGATTCGGTAGCTACCAAAATTATCTTGTATATTTTATATTTACGAATTTAATTGAAAGATCGAATTACTTTAAAACTTATATTCGAAAGAAAAAATCGTGTTCGTATTGAAAAATGATCTTCACGAATAATTCATAGAAATTGTGGACAGAAACTACATAGCGGACAAATATATAATCTACTTCTAAACAGAAACATTTCTCTTAAAATAGAATTCCTATCTATCCTATCCTTAGAGGAACCGACCAGAATCCTGTCAGTCACCCAATACTTCTTCGGGGTGGGGGGGGGACAAAAGCTTCTGCCCAATTGTCTTCGTCGCCACGACAAACGCAGTGGAGAATTAAGCATATTTGCCGAAATTCCGATTCCTTTGTGGTCTCCGAGAATGCCGCACCGTCGCGTCCGCAAACGACACTAATTAATTCAGGGTCAAAGAGAGTCAGGCAATTAGGGGGGGGGGGGGGGGTCGTTGGGGTTAAAAACGAGGAAGATCAATGGGTAAAACAGCTCCAATCCGGTATCGGCGACTAATTCCACGGAGCGGTTTGCGGATCGAAAAACCGGAGCGAGATCGTAACTCGGTGCAGCCGTGACGGCCGACATTAATCGTTGCCACGTGCTAGGTATTTGTCTTCGCGAGTTCGGGAACAAGTCGCGTTTGCCCACGTCTGTTCGTTTCGCTCGAGTTTCGGGGCAATTCGAGCGAAATCTCAACGAGGTTCGTTGGTTGGTTACAGGGCGGAAAAGGAATTTCAAATGTACGTGATCGATGGGATCTATTGAATGGCCACGCACATGTAGATGAAATCGACAGATTAAATTCACAAAAATAGTATGGTATCATTCAAAGAAGCGAAGTACCAACGTCCGTGTTGACACGTTCGAAAAAATATTGTATTGTTCGCATACTGAAAAATTTCGTTTTCATTTATTCAAAGTTTACTTTTGAATAGAAGGGAAAGGAATTCTAGAAAATAGGTGTGTAGTGTTCTTTTTTGTCTAAGTAGGCGTATGTAGCCTATCAACGACCTTTCCACGCGGGAACCGTCTACGTAAGATCACTGATAAGCGGGTTTTTCTACCTGGCGCCCCGGTTATACTACCTGCGCGACGGTAATCCCTCGAGAAATAGGAACAATATCGGACGCGAGATACGTTGACGCGAAGCACCGTTTCCTAGAGCATGGAGCACGAGATGCATGAGTGAATGCAATAAAAGTCTGACCATAAACTCGTGGACCGGAAATTTATACGATCGCTCGACGTGACTATGGAATCTTCCTTTTTGACCTATCAGCTATCGATAAGCGTGTCACGGAGAGTAATTAATTAGCAGAATTAATGAAATACTCGAGAGTGGTCACGATGAAGACAGGTTTGACGAGAGTGAACGTGTGCAAAGTAAAAAAAAAAGTCACCGGAGAATAAATATTTCTTTTAGTGCGGTGTATACAGAGGAAGATGAAATCATTCGGCAAACTAACCGCTGTAAAAACGTTGTATGCTAATTCTGCTGCGTAATTATGTGGCTATGCGCCATTTAGCATTGCCGTTTGTAACGTATTACGAATATTAAGTACAGTTGGTCTTGTAACGCACGAAATGAATATTGGAGTTCTGTAAACGGAGCGACATTGCGGTAAGGGTAAATGATACTAATATAACATGCACGAGTGTAGTGTCGACATTGCATTAGGAACTAGTTCTTCTAAAATTATTGGTATTCTGTTAATATTAATGGTATATGAATACTATGCTAACATGGTGATATGACAGAACTATGGTAGTATATTGGAACAGCAGTACTATAGTGATAGTATACTTATATGATAGCACAATAAATTCCCATTGTAATTCTATCAGTTTAATGTTGTACCAATACTGTCTTAGTCTTATGCTTGTATCATACCTGTATTATATTGCTAATGTAATGTTTCACTGATATAGTATTCGCTAAGCTGTAATATAACACAGCAGACAGACGATACAATATTACTGTAAGACTAACATAGTGTACTGATACAATAATATACTAATATAATAGTATTAGAGAAATATTCTAGTACAGTACAGGTAAATGGAATCCACTTGGCACTTACACTATAACAACAAAAGACAAGTAGGTGCCAGTATAATGTAAGTACTAGGGTAACACTAGAACAATACTAGTACAATGTCTCCAGTATCACTTCAAGTACTGCTGCTACAGTAACAACATGCTACTGGTATTGTTACAGAAGCTGCCTTCCTCAAGTACATTAGTAACATAGTAAAACGAATGGAATTACGACCGGATGAGAATTTGTTTTCGTGCACGGTGCACGCATAAAGTATCAATCGTAAAACGGACCGCGAGTAATAAAAACGGGGTACGTGAAGTTATTAGCAGTAAACGTGCTGAAGCTACTTGACGTTCGTGGTTGTACATCGAAGACCATTTAGACGAGGGGGGAAAACCTGTGCAAGGACAGTAGCGTATCCGTAAAAGTGTCGTAACGTTCGCGGAAAATTTAGCGGTTAATGTTGACTAGAATCGTACGCGGAACAACCGTCAACGTATCGCGACGTACCCGTTCTCGACTCGACCGTCGTCTATTCCATCCGATAGCCAATAAATAAAGAGTTATTTCCCGGTGTACCGAACAAGGCATGGACCGATACCCCGTTTGACAGTTCAAATTGACAGATTTGGGCCGATGCTCCGAAATCGGCGGGAATGACCGTGAAACGGACGGCCGGCCGCAGAACCGCGTTCACAAATATTTAGGGTCACTCACCAGGTGAAGCACGGTGTTGACAACTTCCCGATTCGACACCTGTCCCACTTCGATCAGCCCGATCAGCACGGCGAATTTGAGGCTGTCTTTCATCGCCATCGCCACCACCTCCTCGGGCCGTTTAATGTCACTGAACGGTGGACTTTTCATGTCCGCCATCGCGACGGTATTCTGTGCTGGCAACACGTTTTCCCCGCGAGGAGAATCTACGATAGTTTACACAAAGACCGTCTTATGCACGAGAGCTTTTCCCCGTCACATGATAATACAACACAAATTGATCTGCCATGTTAGAAAGTAGACACTGTTATGAGGGGTCTGCCAGTACGCCAGCACGAAAGACCCTAGCGTCGCGCTTGCAGTCCTGGCACCAACTGACCCCGTAAATTCCTACCTGGGACGCGTATGCGCAGGTGGCGGGGACAGGCGGGGTTTACGAATCCGTCGAACAAAAACACGAATTCGGAGACACAATGTTTTAGCCCACGCCCATTCACGGGAATATTTTTATTGACAGACAGAAGTAACTGGTCTTTGGACGTTTGTTTACATGAGCCACGCGAACGTGAATAATCTTAATTAGTTTTGCAAACGTATAGCTTTATCAGAATTCAAAATATACTTTGTATTCAGACGACTGTGAGTTCCTTATTTTGTCAAATTCTCGCATAAAATATTAGAAACACATACTAATGATGCTAATTATCTGAAAACGTAATAGGAACAACTCATTTTCTGACCCTCGAATTGAAAATATCCCCTTCATTACATTCCACTATCACAGTGTAGTAAATGAAAGATAATGTAACGCTATGATACACTAATTATTCAAAGGTGACAATTTATATATTTATAAAAGTCAATTACGTTTTTTGAATGACTGATCAAAAGCCTTTGTAAATATTGTACGATTCGTTATTTGTACAAGCGCAAGCAATAGTAATACTAATGATTCATAAAAATAATTTGAACGAATAAAATGAGTGAACGTGTATGTATAATTCACGCTGTCAAATGTATTCATAAACGAAATATATATTAATTTAAATTATGTGTTTATCTAGTCATTTTCAAGTATAAGCGTATAATTACAAATTGATATTCGAAAATAATTCAATTTTAATTTTGTTTGTAATTCATGCAATCATGAATCGAGCATGGTACTATGCGTGTGGTTGTCACTACAGACTGGCTGAGTGAGTAAACGCAGGCGTCATTAGTAGTAAAAATGGCGTCGGTGGAAGTTGAGCGTGCCAAGGTACGTGTCGTTTTTTTTTCAATTGAAGCATGTACCATGTTCCTTCTACTTATCTCTTATACGGGAAAATGTCATTTGAATGTCGTTCATTATATACAAATATAAACCTAAGTAATTGTCATCGTACGTGTAGCGTTTCTCGCCTGAAGGGCGTTGGTCTTACTTCTGTCATAATAACACAACACTCTTGATAAGCGTTCTCGCTCCATTTAGGGATAGTATACTGTTAATTTCCGGTCAGCTCGTAATACAAGAAAAAATTATGGCTAATTCATACTTTCAGTTGGAATCCAACTTACGTAATTTAAAATTATCTGGCCATGTTGGATTCGACAGTCTTCCAGATCAGTTGGTAAATAAATCTGTGCAAAATGGATTTCTTTTTAACATCCTCTGTATTGGTATGAAGCTTATTTAATCACTTCTTGATGAAGAGATTATATAGATTCGTAGTTCTTCATATTGTTAATTGTTATTATAATAGGTGAAACTGGACTTGGAAAGTCTACACTTATGGATTCCTTATTTAATACAAGCTTTGAGTCCACACCAAGTCCTCATAATCTTCCATCTGTGAAGCTCAAAGCTCACACGTATGAATTACAAGAAAGCAATGTTAGACTAAAGTTGACCATTGTTGATACTGTTGGATATGGAGATCAGATTAATAAGGAGGATAGCTTTAAGGCTGTTGTTGATTATATAGACGCCCAGTTTGAGGCTTATTTGCAGGAAGAACTAAAAATAAAACGTTCTCTAGCAACTTATCATGATAGTCGTACTCATGTTTGCCTGTATTTTATTTGTCCTACTGGTCATGGGTAAATATCCATTAAAAAATGTTATTTTGCACAATGTAATTATCAGTTTTGTTTCATATTAAACAATATTTTAATATGTATAGGTTGAAGTCTATTGATCTTGTATGTATGAAAAAACTTGACACAAAAGTGAACATTATTCCAATCATTGCTAAAGCTGACACAATATCAAAGACAGAATTACAGAAGTTTAAAAGCAAAATTATATCTGAGCTGCAAAATAATGGAGTTCACATTTATCAGTTCCCTACTGATGATGAAAGTGTAGCAGAAGTAAATTCTAGTATGAATGCCCATGTACCTTTTGCTGTAGTTGGCAGTACCGATTTTGTTCGTGTTGGAAACAAAATGATGCGTTCTAGACAATATCCATGGGGAACAGTGCAAGGTAATTATTATTACTTTTAAATCAGTATCTTAAAGCATTTCATTAATTGATTATTTTTTATTGTAGTGGAAAATGAATCCCATTGCGATTTCGTAAAATTGCGTGAAATGTTAATAAGGACAAATATGGAGGATATGAGAGAAAAAACTCATTGTCGTCATTATGAACTTTACCGCAAAAAGCGACTAGAACAGGTAATTATACGAAAAACATTTATTATATACTGGTAGACTCACCTATTAATTTCTAAGTTTTAATTTTTAGATGGGCTTTAGCGACGTGGATAGTGAAAATAAACCAGTTAGTTTCCAGCAAACCTGTGAAGCGAAGAGATCCATCCTATTGCAGGAGCTCCAACAGAAGGAGGATGAAATGAGACAGATGTTTGTAGTAAGAGTGAAGGAAAAGGAGGCGCAGTTGAAAGAAGTAGAAAAAGAGGTATAAAAAATTACTGTTCTTATTAACATTTACTATTTCGGGAGTACTAATAATTTATGTTAATACATACCTTTCAGCTACACGTTAAATTCGATAAACTGAAGAAAGATCATACAGAAGAAAAGAAAAAGGTTGAGGAAAGTAGAAAGAAACTCGAGGACGATATCCTCGAACTGAATAGACGAAAAATGCAGTTTGCTCAGCAACCTCAGCATCACACGCTAACGTTAGGGAAAAGCAAGAAAAAATAAAGTATTACACAATCGTTGAATACGTCTTGCAATAAATAAACAAGACGTGACATACATTCTAACTCTATAACGTAACGAGTATTATTTTAATTATTTGATACTACTGAAATTAAATATTAAATTATCCAAAGTTTAGATATCGCTGTAACATTTTCTTCTATGATTTATATACTTATAAGTTTTACTTACGCCAGACTGATTACGATAACAGTGATGTTTACCAAATTTAATTTACTTTTTATAATAACATATGCACCTTAAGAAAAATAAAAATATATTTGTTACTTATTGATTCGATTTGTTTAAACAATCTCGTCTTCGAACTCCCATTCTCGCAAACACAAGCGGATCCGTAATTAAATATTTTATTGTTCAACAAAATATAACAACACAATTGCATCGTACTTAAATAAATCTAATGTTATTAGCCGTACAAATTACGTGAAATATATGAAATGATTACGACCTAGGTTTTACAAAAGCATGTTTCGATTCCTAACGTGAAGCCAGAATTGAAAATAGGATATATAATATGATTGTATCACAAATCATGGGAAAACACATTAAAAATGGCTATCGTGCGGCGAAATATTCACAATGAACATTATTAACTTCCACAAGTTAATTTTCTTCTCAACAGAATTTTCGAATATTATGAAATTATATGACTAAATTAGTTTCACTTCAGGACTATACAATTCGTCTACAAACATTACACGATAGCAACCTAATGAATACTGCACGTAAGAAACTTATTTCCAAACGTAAACATTTGTTCCGTGACCACAAAAAAAATGAAGGAAAACAGTTTCGATACTCTGCGTGGAAACGAGCAGGTACAAATAACTTAACCGAACTATATAGACAGACTTACCATAGTTCATAATAATATAATATGGCGGAATTGCTTCATTCGCGCGTAGCAGAAATGATTCTACAAAGAAACGAAATAAATTCGCCTCATTGCAACGCGATTGATCGTGTTTGTCATTTACAAAATAAATACAGTCCTTACGCCTGAATACGAACGAAATTACAACAGAATAGATTACGTGCTACGCGTCGAACAATAACTTATGAAATAAGAACTCTTATAATACACGGTCAATTTGAAAGGAATAGGAAAGAGTCTAACAAAAAAATCCTCGAACGACAATAGCCTCAACGTGCCGACAATACTCGTCGCGCATTTCTTTGCTTTGGTATTCCGTTGCACATTCCTGTGCCCTTGCATTTCTGTGAACCCAACAAACACATCGTGTAATGTAATTTCGACGATAACGTCCTTCGTAAATCCCTTATCCTACGTGTTTATTATAAAAGTACAAAACATATATATTATGGCAGTTATCGTGAAGCATTTTACGAGTTAGCCGATTTGAGTACGCATTCGATTAATGTGCCAAAGTATTAATAATTGATTTCAGGGTCGGCGGATATGACGTCGTTGTAACATGGTAAAAGAAAACCGCTACACTTCGATATCATCCTTCGAAACAGAAAGTATAATTATAAAAGTTTATGCTAGCAAAAAATTGATTTTTTTTGCGTCAGTTTCTCGACACTTTATGACAGTGACTTGACAGTCAGTGATTAATTCGTCGTGTACAATAAAGAAACGAATATTTACAACGGAAGATTGAATACTGTGACCGACCCTGTCATTCGATATAATTTATAATCTACGTGCCTAGAGATATTTAAGTGCACTACGAGATTCGCCTTCGCAGGCTGCAGCAATGACCAAGTATGTATATCAAATATTTCAGTGTCTTAGAAAATAGATTGCATCTAACAATCTTCGAGGAATTACCTATAAGATTAAATTGCATTTTTATCAAGACGGATTCGTTGATTTGGAAAGTACAATTTCCTTTAGCGTTAAGGGGACAAGCTCTTGACCTAGACTGATATTACCTGAGTCCTTAATTGCACTTCCTGTACTTGCTCTAATCACATGCGCGGAGAAAGTTCGAAGTATCTTGTTGGAAGTAAATCAGTTGATCATTCAAGGCCTCTGATGGAGCTTATTCCTATCTTATGTATTTTGTCCATCCTCACAACTCAATCTGTTAGCGTAAAGATATAGCTCGACAAGTTAGAAAAAATCCCTTATTCATCTACAGAATTTAGATATTATATTGAAATCTATTATTTTCTTAAAATATTAACTTACTAGCCAAAGTAGTGTTCAAAGTAAAGTTTCACAGATGGAGGAAGGATTGAGATAACTTTCTCCAGGCGCAAGGATCTTTTCCGACTTGTCAAATTGTAAAAACCCCTACACTGTGATCTAGAATAGGGGAAATGACCTTGATTAGCCAATCGAGCTCCATCCAACTATTGTCACAATGGAAACTGTTAGACCGTGGACCGTTATCTTCAATGTGAACGACATACCGATCAGCTGGTAAACTCGTTTCGACATACCATTTGCGAACTTTGGTCATTGCGGTCGTAAAGCTACCTCTACCAGGTGCATTGCCCTCCTGTGTATTTCTGTTAGACAATTTCCAAATCAAGCGTCAATATGCCTGTCATCCGTGGAATGCATGACACTTAACCCTCCCGATGCTATACATATAAGGATTTGAGCGTTTAACGAGCAACTCCATGCGTAAAGTCTACATATAGTCGCGTATACGTACACAATAATAGATTCAGAATCGATTCAGAGTCTTTAAACGCTCAAAGCATCCAAAGGGTTAAACGTTTAAGCGACGAAGCCAGTGAATATCGTACAAAAAATAGTTTTGTACTTTTATTACTCGAGTAATTAACGGGAGAAGTACAAATAAATATACACGTTGCATGTATACGCGTAGGCGGAACTGTGATTCGCAAACAGTCTTAATACTTCCATCGAAATTAATTCAAACAAAAAACGATTTTAACGAATCACTCAGACTTTGACACGGGCCATATAATAAAGGGGACAAAACTTTTTCGAACGATTGTACTTTTTAAAATTCCAAGATTGCCTTCGGGTATTTTCAGGAGACTTCCATTTAAATCACCGAAGGGGCTCGCAATATTATAAACAGTAGAATGTTCCGCAAAAAATTTTAATAGCGTCATTATATCGCCCTCTTCGAACGATGTAATATACGATCTGAAGCAATTTTCAGAGTTACCCATGTGGTACCCATTTATCTGCCCCACCCCGTGTGCCGACTGTTACGCATCCTGTATAAACGCAACGTGTGTACCCCGATAGAATACAATAAGAAACGATTAAATGTAAATATACAGAGATTAATCGATAGAAGAGCGAACAACAAGAGGGTGAACGCTCGAATTGTAGCGGGCGACGATCGGAACGACCGCTTTGAAAAAGTCTTCGCGCAAGAAAGGTGGCATATTAACACGCTTGCTAGGACGTACGTTAAACATTAGTGCTCCCCAGCCGTATTACATGGACATGTAAGAAAAAATAGTGCCGTCCCATGTATAACTTATTCATCTAAGAGATAGGTGCACTTGGTACCAGTGGTGTGTGTATGTGTGTGTACGTAATTACGAGAATAGAAAATATGTAATCGTGTGTGATAGCATAAGGCGTGGATAGAGAAATACGCATCACTGGGACGTTCGCTGATATAGCGGATAAAGGTTAGTATCGTCCACCCAACGAGACCCAAAAGAACCCACACGAATCCCTCAACATCGTCAACGCACCCGACAGCGGTTGGAAAGAAGGAACAAGTTGTCAACCGTTAGATTCGATTCCCTGTGACATATGCTTAAGAAACATTCAGGCATCGATCGTGTCCATTAGCACCGATGTCTGTATGTATATCTCTATCCTATCAGCCTGGGTTCCCCTAAAAACTCGTCACGGTTCAGTCACCTCTCGCACACAGACAAACACCGTTTCGCCATGTAACGCCACCCCGTCGACGTATCGGGTAATACATCTACTCGGATGTGACGGACTAACAGCAGGATGAACGTGAAGTAGCGTGGACATGTAATAGGCAATGTGCTTTTAGGCTAGCGGGCCGAGACGAATTCCGGCGGAGGACTGCGATACTTGGCGCGAATGGGAAGAAAGTTGGTGTGCTTGTTGCCGTGGGGTGAAGGCGGCGTGCTCTCGCGGTTGAGGGTCCTCACCTGACAGGGATCGTGCCTCGCCAAGAAATGCTCCAATGTGTCCCAGCCACCGCCCACTCGGACCATCATGTGTCTACCCTTCAGCAACTGTGAACACGTTTGGTAGCAGGATTATTAGTGAGTACCTGGTGTATGTACGTCCGTGGGGAGCGTATTCGAAAGAAGATTCACTTCAGTAATTCAAACAAGGGAAACGTGAATTAATTGTGTATGTATAATTTTGCGGTTCTAAAAGTAATGATTTAGATTAAGTGTTTTTTTTTTCTTCTTTCGAACATAGAGACATCGGTTTACTTGGAACGACTACTCACTCTGATGAAAACATTTCGACCCGCGATGTGATATCGTCCTTCGCCAACCTTACGCACCCTCAGCTTGGAGCACTTTTCCGAGGGACACTGGCAGAGTCTTTGAACAGCCTCCGTGGCTCTCCTTACCTGAAACAGACGGAGGGACGCGAGACAATGTAGAAGGTATGCGAGAAATGGTAGCGGGAATATCTTTACGTCGACAAAAGAACGGTCTGATGGACGAAGAACGATCGACCGTCACGCGAGATAAATCGACGTGGCGTGGTCACAGGGAAAGTCGAAGATGCGCCCGGTAAGCCTCGGTAACATCCGCTTCTTGGTATGCAGGAATTCGACACGCGAGAGGATCTACGACCGTGCAAACGCATACGTGAAAAAGCTTAAACCGAGCGCCGTTTACTTCCATTGTTCCTTTCTTCCTCTCTTCCTTGCACTCGCCATTCATTGAGAACGTGACGCGATGCGAGCTAACTGTTGGGAGTTTCGTTTGTATGCCACTTTAATGATTCTTGCCGATCGTAAACGGGTAACTCTAGCCGTGACTGGTAAGAATCTTTGAGATGCCTTGGGTACATAATGCGAGATATATTTGATATGTCTTACGTGTCATTGATAGGACAGGGTCACTTCAACATTGACTTAACAGATAACTACAACCTTGTTCGTATTTAACAGGACAATGAATTATTAAGCTTCTAATGTTAGAAAGAATTATCCTAGAGTACTATTGACTTTTCTAATCTTGAAGGAAGAACGATTGAACGATATCAGTTAATGTTTATAGGAGGTATTGATTTATGAGGAAACATATCTCTCCATATATGTACTTCGATAGACAAGTGTTCCTAGTATAAATCGTTTTACCTTGCGATCGAGTTCCGTTATGGGTCGGTTCAGCTGGCGAGGGCAAAGGTGAACTGGACGGTGATGGAACCTCGTCGGGATCCTCAGCGCTGCCACGGGACCAGTCGTCTTCTGTGGTATCACTGGGCACGCCATCGCTCCCTTGTGGCCCATTATCGCTGACCGACCTCCGCATTTCGGGTTCAAGGGTCGTGCCATTCGTTGGATCCAACCATCGTGTCGCCGACGACGCCACTTCCGATGCTGAACTACAAATCACGACATAAAAAAAACTTACTCGGAGAACTACCTGATACACAATAAATATCAGTGTTTCTTTATGCGACTTTTATCGCACACCTCCGAATTCTTCGACCTAACCCTCTCGTGAATTACCCTCCATCACGAAAGGGGGGAATATTGAAAAGGCTTTCAACACGATACACGATAATTACCTCCCATTCTTAGTTAAAAGGTATCTCCATGCGATTCTGCTTTTTTTTTACACGACAACGGTAGTTAGGAGAGACAGAGGTACACGCTCGCGCGCTTTCCGTTGCTTATCATAATTACGCGGGCGTATCTGCCGCAAGTTTGCCGTAAAATACCGTAAGCTTTACACACGCCACAAAACACCGCCGCCACTCCTACGGCGGTTGCGTTACGGTCGAGGTAAGTACCGCGCGGCTGGTTGTCTTTTCGAGAATGTAACGCCTCGCAGATTCGCCCATTAGGCGAATCCTTTTTCAGTAAACGGAGAGAACCTCGTCGAATCTGACTCTCCGAGTGTTTGCGCGCCTCCTTCCTCGAATCGCGTTTCATCGGGTCGTAAACTCACGAACGAAAGGGGAATTCACACGGCACGAGACGCGATAACTGCGCGCGTTCCCCTTTGTCCATCGAATCATCAAACAGAAAACTTTAGTTTTTAAAAGTTCCTCCTAACTCGTCAACCTATGAATTGTATTTAAGCTAGGAGTTGTTTATATTAAGTCATGTAGGAAAGCAAGGCATCTTGAATGAATGTGTTTGAAAATAATGTGTTAAAAGTACAGTAAATCATCGATGAGTGTTCAGACGCCATCCCCCATCAGTGGCCGCTTGACTGGTTCCAGGGAGACTCCCCCCCCCTTCCCCCAGTGGTGGAGATCACGTTTAAACACTTAGTGCCTTCGATCACTCATCGATGATTACTGTATTAGGTTATCCAAACGGACCCAAGCACCGTTGCTGTACGAATATTAAAAACGCCCGCCTTCTTACGGTTAATCGATACTGTGTGTACCTATATCAGTCTGTTGTGAAAAACCAATGACAAAATACTTTTCGATTGACAGTGAAGCGATCGACCTTGAATCGCTTCTGTTCAAAGATGTCGTGACGAGAAAAACAGATCGTTCAGAGAGCAATAGACAGTGTACTTTGGGCCCGCATATAATACCTGCTGTGTTTGATCTTCTCGGCTGGTGGTCTGGGCGTCGCGGTCGGTGACGGCGATTGGAATTGCCACGAAACCAGGCTGCTGTGAGATATACCGCTATCGGACAAACAGTGAAGATCCCTTTCTTGTTCCTCGGCAATTTCCCTCTCGAGCTGCACGAGTCCCGGTGGCTCCACGGAATAGATCGAAGCCAATCGAGCCACCTCCAATAGGCACAGCACGACGTTCCGTGGCTGCCCGTGGAGAACTGCCAATTATATATATATATATATATATATATATATATTACATGGGTAATGTACAGATGTGGAATATCTTTATGGGAACCAACTGGGTACGACCTTCTCATCCTACAACGTTCGAATACGTAAGGACCCTTTTTTGAAGTTCTGTGACTAGTTCATTTGTGAATTGTCCCTTTCAAACTTCTTGACATTGGGAAAGAATTCTTGGTGATCGATCCCAATTAAAATTACGTAAAGTTCCCTATGTTGAATTCCCTATATGGCAACTCGCGTTTTTTTCGCTTCTCAGGGATGGGAGACGCGGTTAATTCGAGGCAATTACTCTCGCCTCGGAAGCAATTTCAATTTGCATATCCGCGCGCGACGATCGTCGCTAGGAACGGAATTACGCGTCGTAAATTGGCGGGATTTCGCTTTTCATCGAGAGCACACAGGTCGTCGCGATGCTTCGACCGCGACGAAGGTAGGCCACGGAATGAGGATCGATACCGGGATAAGGATGGGGGTTCGAGATTAATTGGCTGGATTTACCGAGATCGTCGCTCTCGAACAGGAGATTCTCGTGAACGCCTAGACGACGGCAGAATTGGATAAAGTTCTCCATGTTGTCGCGGGAAAAGAAACTTCGTCTCGCTGCGTTCTCCCAGCATCGTCCTCTTATAACCGGTATTGACTGGAAAATATTTATCGGTCGTTTCAATTCCTAACAGCGAGTCTAATATATACAGTGGAAATGAAAAGTGAGTATACACTTTGAAATTATGGGATTCATTCACATTTATTTCTCTGAATTTATAATCTAACATTTCGTACATGTATAATTACTTACCCCTTTCGCTCTCCCAGCATCGATCGCCACCCTTGCCTTTTCCTGAATGACTCTCGCCAATCGACACACCACCACGCCATTGTCGAGGGCGTCGAAGAAGTTGTCTCCCGTTACGTACTCAGAGTCTGAAAACATCAGGAAGGGAATATTTTATCGTAATATACACGATTCCACGTAAAGATTTTGGTTTTCAAATTTTTCAGTCACTGTGCTCTTTTTCTATTAATCGCTGTGTCGACGAACGCCTAAACGTATTGCATAAACGTCCACTTGAAAAATAGTCAAGAGTATCGACGAAGTGGCGTCATTGTTGAGAACAATGGGAGCGACCCTCCCTTACACTCTCCACTGTAGACAAATTCTACCCGTGCAATGGTAGGGTGACTTTCGCTTTGTGGCAGAAATTTTCCACGAATAGGTTCTTAGGAGGCAAAGGCGTGCGACGAGAGAAATTTCATTACACCCTCTTACGGCCCTCCAATGGGACGCAACAATGAAAATCTTGAACTAAAAGTTGTACAACGTGGATCACACATGAGGGGGTATAATCGTGATAGCAATCTATCAATCTTCAAACAACCGATGCTTGGAAATTAATTTATAATGAAAATGAAATATAATCAATTGACCAAACTATCGACTGGATTATATTACAAGGAAAAACACATTACAGTGGCATTGAACGTTCAGCGATGTACGATAAATCCAGTCTCTCAGGATCGATCGAAAAATCAAATAATTCGGTTTAAATGGCAAGTACTGTCGGTTTCACGACAAAGCGAATTAACCTCGAACCGCGGGGTGAATTGCTATCGCGATCCATCAGACAGGATGGAGGTCCACGAAATGACAGAACCGCGTCAGGGAACGTGAGAAACGATCGAACGGTTCGAATCGTTTCAGATTTATCTGCGAAACCGCTACCTACGAAAGCGCGGGGTGTATTCTTCGATCGAATCAGTATGGATCTCGATAACGTGATCCCGTGGCGTGCGCACGGTCTTCTGTAGAGAAACAGTAGAGTCATTATGTACTTTAAATCCATTTATGAAGGCGGTCTCGTTCGATTAGCAGGTTAAAGTCGGTGCCGACACCGATTCATCACGACTAGAGGGAGATCTATCCACACATATACCCCGTATTCGCCCAACTCGAAGACCACATCTGCCTCATTTACGAATCCCATCGTATACCCACGTCCATCCTTCGAAAAATCGAACCTCGGCTAGAAACTCGAGAGACGACGACGGGCGTGCTCGGTCAAGCGAGAAACGATCTAGCCCAGGACAACACTCTCACGATAGGCCAACTCGTGCGTGACTCGTCGGAATCATTTCAATTTCGTTTCGCCGTCCTCCACGTATAAAACCTGGATCAAGAGACCCGGTGGGATATTTTCCAACGTCCACGGACACCTTCTCTCTTTATCTCTCTTGTTCCCGTCGTCGTTTCTCCCACGATATGCCTGGAGGATCGAGAGTGTTGTGTAGGTATATGTACTATATATGTATACGAGAGATCGACGCCCAGTAGAATCTAAGGAAAACCAGTGGGACACGATCCGTGCCACGTGATAATAGATATAGGTGGGATACGATGGGAAATAGGAACTAGGTTGGGCTGACGGAGCGATAAAGCCTCGCAGATACGGATGGTAATGAGAACCGGCGCGCGGGCTCGTGACTCGACCCGGGTAACAATAGGGTTGCACCCGGGGCAGAACCAAAGGGGTGGGGGCAGTAAAAAAAAGAACGTTTTAACGGGCTGGCTTATGGAGTAAAGTCCATCACACGTTGTACACCGCGAGCACACATACACACGTGTGCACGTGTAACGTTTGTAGGTACACACTGCCGCTCGTAAGTATTAGGACATCTGGTCTATATGAAGAAAATGTGATGTTTCGTAAAAATTACATTTTTCAAGCCATATTTAACTACTTCACAGTAGCATAAACAGTGTACATCGAATTTTCAAATTTCCTTCAGACTTTCCGCAATTTCGTAAAGCAGTGTATCGTTTCCCACGTATTAGATGAGTGTCCTGATACTAACCAACGAAAGTGTATACTCTGTAGCTGAAAAGTATGAGCATACTTTCTTAATTATACCAACCACTTAAAAAAAGTCATAAAATCTGTAACGCATTACATTAAAATTTATTTATCTTATTTATGTACCGTGTTACAGAAGCAGAATATAATGCAGCGTTGACCCAGCGCATAAACTTTTAACTCGCTCACTGCATTTTTTGGTCCCCCCAAAAGATCCCGAGTTCATTAAAAATACTATTAGTGTCCACATACTTTTCGAGTGGCACTCACTGTATATGGCCCACGGGCGCCCCGGCTGGATCTGGATTGAGGAATATTGCTCGCATATGGCCGGGAACACAATGGGCTGAAGCTAAAGCGGAGCTGCTGCTCGTGATAACAGCTGGCTTCGGTAGGATTCCTGGACCCGTGACTTCGATCTTACGAAAGATCACAGGCGTGTGAACGTATATGCATGTCCTATGTAAGTGCGAACAACCGCCACAACGAACTACAACTCGGTCACCCGGAACTTTCCGCGGTATACTCGAACCACGTACAAGTCTAATTTATGTTTGACGTTACAGCGGAGTAATAATGCCCACACCGCTCGAATCTTGCGCACAGCTGCTTAAGGAAAAGCCTCTATGTGTATCCAATAACGGTAATTAGACGGTAAATTTCCAAGTGAACTTAGTCCAGAGTGAAGCGTGCGTTCTTTTATGAAAAAGATCGAGGATTTAAAATGAATCGTGAAACACGGGTATATTATTGTGACGTGCATATATAATTTGTGAACTTTAGTTTTTATGGAAGTCCTACAATGACCTCAAAGGCTACCCAGAGGTCCCTCGATAGACCTCAATGTTCTCTGACAGACCCCCCGGAGGGAACACAGGAGACCATAAAGACCTTTCGAAGGTGTCTAGAATTCTTGGAGACTTTTGAAGGGAACTAGACTAGGTCGACTAGGAGACCCCCGAGATCCTTCAATGGCCCCCAGAGAACTCCTTTGGTCCCCTCAAAGGACTCCCGGGAGACCCCAAAGGGTCTTCTAAGAACTCTAGTGTTTGCTAAGACATTAATAATGCGGACTAAACCCTATTCACAATAAGGATTTTGGGTTTTAATTAAAATAGCGGGCAGTGCTAAATGCTGTAAGTGAGAACTAAATTTAGAATACCGTCTGTATGAATGGATTTTATTTGTGACTTCTTCATGGAAGGAAAGTAATTGATTGTATTGACCGACACATAGATCCCTCTTCTGCTTGAGTTTACTAAAAGAGGTTCATCAATATCGATCACTATCGTAATACCGTGACCTGCATTTCCTTTATATCCATGATATGCTACCCTTCAGTTTTAATGCTCGCTCGACCTCTTTAGTGCGATTCCAAGCCTTTTTCAGTGTCTCCGATGTCGTCCTTGGCATTGTTCGATCGATGCATTAATTCGAACGCGATGTATTACTGCAATCCCCGGCCTGTTACCATAAAACATGCCACGACTTGACAATTTTAATTTCATCGCTCGGGCCACACACCGGGTATCCCTCGGACGAAGGACATTTGAGTGAGTTATTGGACTTCTTTAATGTGGTGTTACTTCTCTCGTATGATGTTTATCTCGCAGGTTGATTTATCTTCTCTTGCGTGTCTCTTAACGTATCATCTGCTGTATTAGGAGTCGGGTATTTCCCCCAAAAAAATCATAATTTAAAAATTTGCGAAATATACAGGAAGCATGACTGAATGTCACACAAAAAGCACTTGTTTTTCAGCGTCCGGGAGAAAGTTAAATAATTAATAAAATGTGTTCTAAATTCTACCTTACCAGATAGAACTAAAATTATATCGAAAATTCTATCGTATTGAAAGAATTACTGGAAATCACCGGATGTTCAAGAAAATAAATTATTCGTCATTCCTGATTTACCAAGAAATCGATTAAAAACCCTCTAAATAATCACCACCTTAATATCCATTCCCCGTATCATTTTTATGCTGTCTGGATGGGTACAGAGATCGGCTCTAAACTGCTTTTCACAGTTATATCCCAGCGTATCCCATCGAAAGGGCACGGGGAGGATAAATTGACGAGGTTTCGACCCGTTCGATTCACGGCTCGCTGCTCGTTCATGGCTCGTGCCAAACGGAGGATCCCCGTTCGCGAACCCCGTCGATCCGCGCGATCCGATGAGCTCTCGCACGCGCAAGCGTATTACGATAGGCGTACGCCCATTATGCGTAATGCGGCTTCAGGTACACACATACACTGCCGATGCGGGGAGGCGAAGAAGAAATGGCACGAAGGAAGAGGGGTGCCCAAGCCGACTTCCGGTTGAGTCAGACCCACTGCGACTGCGAGACGACATGCAGGGTGTGGGTCGAAAGGTCCCCTGGCTGTTTCGCGTATTATTCTAATAATCCGCGTGGAATTTCGGCGATCCGCCGAAGATTGACACTTTAATGAAAGACAAGCGTGGGCTGAAGGATTCTCTTCGTTTGTTCGACGGCCCAAGATGTCCTTGGATGATTCATTTCAATCCGTTGTTTGAACCGATCTTTATAACGCATGACGTCTGCCAAATAATCGAAGTTCAAGATAAAGACAGACCATTTTTCTTCGTCTTTTCAACTTATTGTTGGTTTTTAGAATCTTTAGTGTACTTTTTAATATGGGATCTGAATTATGTATTTAAGCGTTCGAAGTATGATATAGAAATTAACCGGTTGATGTGGGTGGAATCGTTAATTAGACACTGAGTCTTAAGATGAAGCGTTCAGGGATTGATTAAAGATTCAGGATGTGGTTTTCGAATGTATACCATGCGTGACCCATTTCTGTAATCTCAGAAGACATTTATTCTACATATTCCAGTTAAACATGATAAATATGAGAACCTGTTACAGAATTAAGTAAGCAAAGACAGAAGTTGAACCACCGTAGAAAATCATTCCGAAAATCGTCGAAGTCGCGACCGCGAGAGAAATTTCCATCGATTTGCATATTCATCGGGAAACGTCGATAATTGAATGAACATCCAACGTAGACGTGCTTGAAATGATTCGAACAACAAAACTTCCAGGTCCGTCGGGTTATTTTTCTCCGCTAGCCACGCGATGCAAACACCCCGTGTGTGTACGCGTCCTCTCACCCTTGCATTAAATTCCCCCCCGCCCCCCCCTCCCCCCCAGTCGATTGAATGCAGACGGGAGAGAGATGACCGGGGCTCACGGTGCATTTCAAGCGTTTCTGCGCGGAACGGCTGGAAGCGTGTGGGTGTGTACTTCAATCGTACACCCGCCGAACGAGAATAGTAACTACACGGCAGAGGTATATACTCACACGATTCCACACCGTAAAGGCTGCCGACCTATCCGCCGTCGTTCCCACTTTGAAGCCGCCCCGGAGAGTGCCGTGTCACCGTGATATTGCGACGGGATATAATTAGACGCGTCTGATCAACCACGATACGACGCTGCCGCGATTCGTCACGGGCATAGATACACTGTACTCCTATTTATTTGATTGTTTAGAGACTTTTACTCCTACTTATTTGAATGATTAAATTGAATTTTAAGAGATGTAAAATACTCTAAGGATGTCACTGCGAATCTTCGTTAACCACCCTCGTGCACTGTTCGATTGTATATGTCGCGAAGAAAATGTTCGATTGATAATTGTAGTTTTTGTTATAGAAATTTTTCAATTAATTTGACACCAATATCTTACACGTATTATCATACTAGCGGCAAGCAAATATATATTTACTTGCAATATGTTGTTTTGTTGTGTGTAGGTGTTTACCTAAATAACTATTGTGTAGGTATTATCTAATTAAGCTAAATTTTAGTTGAAGCTCTGTGACTTTGATGTTAAAGAATTTTAATTCGAAGAATAGTAATGCAATAGGTTATTGAACAGTACACGATGGTTAGAAGAAAATTTAGATTCACCCAGCCGTTATTAGGTTGGTTGGTGTAAATCCTAAAAATGATAATGTCCCGTTTACTCTTCTATGCTTTTTTTTAAAAGAATCTGCGAGGAGAAACGAAATTATGTCAACACGAGATAGGCGTTTCCGTTCGAGCGAGGAGAAAGCTGCGAAATTCTTCGCTGATAAACGGTTATCGACGACGGTGCCCGCGATTCAAACGAAAACGAAACCGAAACCGTCCCAGTCCCATCTCCAGACGACACGATGTAGGTTTATCAGCGTATTAATCGTTTTTCACCGAGAACCGTTCCTCGTGTCGCAATCTTTCACGGTGGTCCAGATCTCGCGGCTGGATTCTTCGAGGTCGCGCGAAACTGCGCGTGCGGCTACGTTCACCAAAATATATGGCAACATTACGGACACATTTCGTACGGAGACAACCTGCCCTCGCATCGATAAGAAGCCGGTCTTGAAGATAAAATCGACGATGAAGGAGCAAATCGATTTCAATTCTATCTCCCGACTACTCGAGAACTTAATCTTTGTTGCCTGGATGTTGACTGCCGCTGAATATCCTTGACACTGTGGCCTTCCACAAATTGTGACGCTAGTACAGTATATTTTGGGAATTGCAAAAGATACTGATAATAAAATATTTTAGAATCCTGAGTTACCAGTATTGTTTCGAAAACATTAAATATTTAGAAAGCCCCCTGTTCTGGATTTAACTTCTTCAACCTACTTTTGCACTACACTATCAACTATAATTCTATATTCTCTAATAGGAAACGGTGTTATTTGCTTTGTAGAACCCACCGAGACGGCAACCTCGGCGTTCGATACAACCGGGGCTGTTCGGTTTTACCGATCGCCTCGTATTGGGACCGTATTAGGAAGGTACTAGTTCAGAAAGGCGGTCACACTAGTACCCGAGATTGAAATAAACATCGTCTTTCTACGAAGAGCTTGCTCGTAAAAAAAGAGGAATTCCCATCTTGTCGTCTGAATGCCAGTCTTTCGACTGGCTTAATAAATTTCATTAGCTTCAACCTTCTTATGTGCATCGAATCAAAAGAAACAATACCATTCGTTTAAGAGTTGAAAATGGTTCAATTTCTTGCGATTGGAAGAAAAGTAAAAGTTCGCATGTGAATCTGCAATAATACGAAAATCCTGGGCAGCTTGAAAAACGCTTGGAGAAATCAGAAGCTGTAACGATTCGAAGTGCGAGAGAAATAGGTGAAACGATCGAATAACGCGACCAGCCAACATTTCGTATTCGGTGAACTTACCCCTGATATCTCGAGCGGAACCGGAAAAAAACTTTTCAGGTTCTTCTAATCCGTTCCGCGATGCTTCTGAGAAACTAGCGATCCGGTCGTGCCGAGAAAACTTTCACCTACTTTGAAATTCGCGAACGTATCTCGCCCTGTGAACCGGGAATATCGGATATCGATGCTCGCGTTTGCAGTCTGGTCGACGAAATTGAGGGGAAAAAATAACGAGAGAAGTAAATTACAGCTATCGATTGCATCGAGCTTCCCTATGGCTCATATATGGCGCCAAAAAGTATATTATCCTATCTTTCCTCCATTAGGATTTTTCGATAAGTGTTCATGATACTTCTGAGCGATAGTGTATTTCTTGTTCGTTACTAGTGAAATAAGCGTTGAAAATTCATATACAGGGTGATACAAAAAAAAGGTTCATAACTTTTAGGGTAGATAGTAGATAGTACTCGACAAATGATAAAAAAAGAGTCCTGATAAACATAGGTTGAAACATTCCATTTGCCTGGATGTAACAAACGCGATCATAACCAGATCATTTGAATTTGATTTATGAGGCAGCGTCGCGACCGAGCGATTTTTTCGCGTGGTCTCGCGTGACTGTCCGCCCGAAAACGCGCGACGAAACCGAAAGGCCAAATGTTACGAATATCCTTTCCCACGTCGTGCCAGATGCGAACCTTTTGTGCCGTACGAGCGCCGTGTGTAGTACACAGCCCCCAACAACATCGCGATGGAAACACGTTCGACCACGGAAAATAAACGAGTTCTGGTTCTGCGCGGAACCATCCGATCATTCGTTGCGTCACCACCTAACTTTCGTAAGGAAAATCGAGCCTCAAATTACACGGGTTGCTTCCGGAATACACAAATTATATTATGCACTTTCCAACGCGATGAAAATATTAATAGATTACGTAAAAAATCGTAAGAGAAATTTGCACAATAGTGGAAACGGAGCATCTCTGATAAATCGACGCGATATGAAAAAGCGTATTATGCAACAGAAAGGGGTATCGCGGCATCCCGCCATAAATCAGTCGAATTGATGATTATCCGGCTAATGGTTATCGGAAATTCGCGCCGGAAATCTGAATCGTTCGCCTGAATGGGATGCAAGGCGAGGATCCATCATCAGTCAGAAGTTGTCTAGTATTCTCGCCTTGTGTACGGTGAATTGATAGAAATGGGAACACATGATTGCTCCTTTCATGTTCCAGACGAAAAATAATACTCGACACGAGAGACTACTGAATGTAGAGAGTATAAAATCTCGTGTCGAATAGAATTACTCCAAATCCAAGAGCAATGTCACTTTTACAAGTTCGTCACACCTGGTGAGCAAAATCCGACCGTAAAACACACAAAAGTGGAAACAAAAAGTATATTTGCTTTCGAAGATTTCACAGCTCTTTACCAATCAATGGGGACAAGCGACACGCGTGGAAGCGTTTTCGAAGCGACTGATCGGTAACGAATCGATTCGATTCAGCTTTCGCCGAATTCAGATAAATCGACAACCATTGTTTCTGAACTTGAATCCCGTTTAGTATATTTCCTCCTATTACCTTCTCAATTTCATTGCGGTTCATCGAAACTATAAATGAAGAGACAAGAGAAAAAAGAAACTTCGAGCAAAGTCACTACGGAGACCTGTTATATTTTACTGTTAAAATCTTGAACACCCTGTAGACAGACGATTGGAAGGAGTAGCATAAATCCTTGCCAAGGATTTCGTTGGACGTCAGCGTAAATACTCACTTAACGTTTTATTGATCCAATCGGCGAGGTCCTCCTGCAGAGGCAGCAACTGTCTGCTTTGGGCCGAGTGCAGACGCTCGTGATAAAACTCGGCGAACTCTTCCTCTTCCGGCGACGGTCTCGGTACGTCGGCGCGATTGAACACAGTCACCGACGAGGGTCCCCAGCTGCTGCGATAACGGGTGTGCTGAGACGACGGGAATCGATTGGTGTACGACATCCTGGAGGCGGAAACTGGCCTCGAGAGTGTCCCGGTGGCCCGCACCGGTCTCTCCGGGTTTCGTCTTCGCTTGACGTTCGTGGTCCCTCTTCACAGCCACCCGGTTGTCTCCTCCCTGTTCGAATGTTCCACCGGGTTCCACGGGTTTTACGCTACTGAGGTGTCCCGGCGACGCTGTGCGATGCAGCACGTCTGGCGATTACGTGAACCTGAATGAGAACAGAAAGAACCGTGGATATCGTTTTATCGCTTGTCGGGGAAATATATCTTTATACACGAGTAGGCGTAGATAGAAAGGAAAAGCTTTTTAGCTGATGTTTTCGTAACCGTCTTTGTCGGATGTGAGCATTTTTTCATGATGGACGAATTAAATGTGCATTGAGTTTCGTTATTAAAGATTGCTTAGAACAATTAGAGGATCGTATAAGGTAGGTTATAAGGTTCTAGTATCGTACGAAACAAATATTAATTTCTAAAATTTGCAGCATTTCTTCGACTTGTTTGGCGCAACAGAACCGTCCACGATACCGATCTTCTAATTGTTATGAGCAGTGTACGATAGCTAACAAAGGAAGGCACGGAAGTGTACCCCTCATATTTTTATGAAACTTTGTATGTCTGTTAAGCGGTCAAAAATAAGGAATAGGTATTTTTTTTATCGGCTGAGACGCGACTTTAAGGGGTGAAACCACCCCTCGAAGTTTCGACCCGAAAGTACTATCTCGAAAAACAGTTGCGGTTTTTTATGTAGAATAATATGGTGCTAATAAATTGTCGAAAATATAATTTGTTTACAACAAAAAAACTTTCGGATCGAAACTTCGAGGGGTGGTTTCACCCCTTAAAGTTGCATCTCAGCCGATAAAAAAAATACGGATACCTTATTTTTGACTGCTTAACAGACATACGAAGTTTCATCAAAATCGGAGGGGGACACTTCCTCCGTGCCTTCCCTTGTAAGTCGATACTAAATGTACAGTTTGACTTTTTCTCATTTCCTGTTCTTTGCTAAATTTGATTTACATAAACGATAGATAAATACCCATCGAGCCGTAGCTCGTTGACGTACAAGTCAAAGGGTAGACACGGACCACGTTAGCATCCGTCAGAAGTGCCATTTACTTTTATTATTTCTCCTGTTTCAAGTAGACCCGCGCAAACAGGCGATCTGATAACCAGGCCCGAGTCTCTCTCGAGAGATTATTCGTGGGATCAAACGATACGATGATGCCGGAAGACGTGCGCATCGTGGCCGTTCCGCGTAACCATAAACGGGACGCGAGACTCGTGAGTGGTTGAAGACCTCCGGAGCACGCTTTTGGTATACACACGGCGAATGACTGGCAGCAAGGAAACGGAGCACGTTTCAAGTGCGTTTTGGGAATGAATGGGTTTTGTGTTACGGGGATCTGTTCATACGACGCTGTACAACCTATATTTCATAATAACTATGAGAGGAATGAGACTGCAAATACGTTTCTTTTTGGCGACCAATTGGATGGCTAGACGATCAGACTGGTATACCTATACATATGTATACTGTTCGATGATTGCACAGCTTTCATTCTAAGCTCTGGACTCTGCTTTTCAATACTATTCTTGTTGCTGTATTGTAACGTTGAGAGCTTGCAGAAACGAAGGTAAATTCAGTAGTTGAATCTCATCGTCGACACTTAAAAAAGTCTGCAATTCCCATGGTTTTGCATTCCATGGCTGGAGTATCGCAACCGCGAGCTGTTCACCAAGAAATTACGATAAATTTTCATAAGTGCACAAACACCTCTATATTTAAACGACATTCAAACCCGTCATTAACATTCATCCTCGGCCCCCGGGGCCGGCAAACGGTCTTCGCAATTTTATGGTGTAGTACGCGTCGCGTAGGACTGAACGATCGAACGGAAGAGGTGTTAAAACACGAAGGAAAGATGAAAAAAAAGAACGAATGAATAAAATCTTCATAAATCCGCTGTACGTCGATCGGAGGACACACAGAGCAATATCGTCTCTCTCCGGTGACGCAAATCCATCGTTGATGCAAGAATGCGTTGCAGATCGATGAAATGAAATCCCAGTAATCGTCTCGGGTGACTTCGGCCGGTGCGAACCTACGAGTGTCCTTCGACATCGATCTATTAACGTGTCGTCACTGGCTGTGGCCCACGTAATGCAATCCGTCGTAAACAGTTGACGACCGGTAAACGTGTCACCAGAAGACGGATACTTGTCTCTTTCCTCTTTGGAAACGTTTAGACGAAGAAACAGTCGTACAAGATGCAAGACGATTTTCCAATTTTTACCTGGTCGATCGAATAATAAGGTCTAAAACCGCGAATCATCGACGGACGAGAAACAAGATACATTTCGTTTGCTCCTATCGATAAAGATAGAACCTCCCTGCAATCCAGGACTGGCGGTTTCTCATGGCTGAACGATGATGCGTGTGGGCGCGAGAAATATCACCTCGATGAAATTCTTCATAAATCAACGGGGTGATGGATTATTCAACGTGACGGTCGGCCAATTAATGCCGTTTTCGCGTTATCGTGACAAATCGAGCAAAGAGACGCGTGTGTGCCAGACTCAAGGTAAGGCCGTTCTATGCAACGAACAAGCAGACGATAACGAAGTTCGCGGCGGGACGTTGTTTGCTTTGGTACGGGTATTTCTTAATTACAAGGTCTTACGAACTCGATAGGCACTCTGGTTCATAGAGATTTATATGTACAGACGGTAGATATTGATATACATATAAACGCGGGTTGCTTTGATAATTTGTATCTTGGCACCATTTGAATGATCTGTGGTTACAGTGAAACTTTACGGTTCGGACAAAAGTATTATTATTTTCAATGACTGATATCGAAAGAGAAGAAATACCGCTATTTCCATGTAATAAATGGATCCGTTGCGAATGTATAATACGATCATGATCGTAATTGATGGAAAGTTCGTTCGGGTGATTTCAATGCGTGGCAAGGATATCACCGTTACTCTCGGAATGGATATTACCAGAGTTCCAAGTTTCATGAAATAAACATATGCTTCTCGATGGACGAAAAGCAGCTCGAGGCGACCATTCGACATCGAATAGTGTTGCAAAGTGTGCACCCACGCGCTGAATAATCTATGCCAATTTTAATCGAGCTCTCCCAGCCCAAATGACGCCATATTTAAACGTAGTGGATTAGAGACACGGCAGTTCGTGTCTAGGCGTTCAAAGCACGGATATACAAGATGGATCAGGATGGCAGATTACTTTAATTGATGCACACCCAATTTGTTTTCACAGCACACGAGGAAAGTGGAAAAGTCTTCGCAAGCGTTTCTTCATTAGCACTTCATGGTTTCACTGATCGCAGTACGATCGGGCTCTTGGAACGCGGAGTGATATAACGGCTGAACACGTAAACATTTTTGTTGCATCGTACCTTGGATTGTTCGATTCTTTTGTCTTCTTTGGTAAACGACGCTACAGTGATTCCCAACTGTAGCCAACCGGTGACCATCTTTCTGTCTCAAAGGATCGAAAAATTAACCTAATACCCTGCATTGGAAAATATTCCTCTTTTCATCCTAACACAATATCATTCCTTCCCTTATTTTTTCTTTCTCTATTCTGCAATCATCGGTTGATCCTAAGAAAATCGAGTAAATTTTCATATTATACAGAAGCATATAATTACTTAGGACCCAGCGTTCAGGACAAACCATTTTTCCTACAAGTGAAACACATCCAACCAGATCTTATCGACGACAATAATGACTTAACAGGCTGAAATATAATCAATTTCTAAAGAAAAACTAATAGCGCAGTACTGCAGCAATAGGAAATCCTCGAGTATACAAAATTTCTCTCACTCTCTCCTTCGCTTTCTCGTTCCACCCTCGAAACAGTCACACCCAATCTGATCTTCCCAAAAGTATAACACAACCGTCTCAAAAACTGGTCTCCAACTTGTGTACTCTGATTCGACACAATCAGAAGCACATCGTCGAGTCCGCAAACATTTCTCGTCTCTCGAAACAAGCTCGCGGGGAGATAAGCGACGAGCCATCTCGTTATTCAATCATGAAAACCGCGTCGAAGTCCATGGTGTCCGAGGAGCAACGACCGTCTAACAACAATCGGAGTCTCGCCGGTCGGGATAATCGGCGAATTGGATCGGCGATATGTAGCTCGTGTGCGGCTTCGCTCGACGACGACGACGACAGTTGCCCAGAAAGATTTTGCTGTCCCCGCGAAGGCCGCGAAACGGGTCGTGTTGTATTGTACAAGAGAGACTCGTCACCGGTCACACGCAGACATCCGTCGACGCACGTCCGGTTCGTAGTACGGGGCTGGCTTGATCCTCTCGCGTGCACGCGTGGGCGACAAAACCCATTTCGTCTGAACACGTGTAACACACTGACACACACCGCTAAACGACAATCGTTCCATAGCTGCACGCGAATATGCACCTCCGATTCATGGGACAGCTTCGACGTCGGGTATGCACAGGGTGTCCCATATAAAAAGATTCACTCGAATATCTCTAAAGCTGTTGACGATATTAAAAAATGTTTCAGACAAAAGTTAAGTGGTACTAGGGGAGACACTTTTTGATGTATCTTTCTTCTATGTGGATACGTAGAGGTCATATGAAGGTCAACTTTGTTTTTTCAAATGGAATCGTATATTTTTTAATTAAAAAGAAGTAAGTCACTTATGGCGAATTACTGCATTAAAAATATATGATTCCATTTAGGGAAATATATATATATATATGTAATTACTAGAAGGTAATGAACCCAAGTGTCACGGACGTTACTGTTGTTACTACTCGATAAAATGGATTGAATTAAAAATTGTATAGTTTCAAGACTGAAGATTACAAATGAAGAACACACAGGGATCGATGGCCTTAAACGAAGCGACAAGCAGAGAATTTTCTTGTTCGAAAGTTTCCGGACAGCCGCGAAATTCGCCGAGGAAACGTTTCGTTGACGCGGTCCAGTTCGCCCGCCGCATTCAACGTTCACCGCGCTAATTTCAAAAGCATCTTTTCACTACCCTCGCGGAGAAGGAAAACCCTTAATTAGAGCGGCCGAGTGAATCTTTGAGAGGGCTGGCTTTCTATCTTTCTGGTAAAACCACGTACATACGTCCACGACGAGACAGATAAAGCACCAAGAGGCCAACTCGTGAAGGCTTGAAATTTCTAATAGA